AACTAGTCACTTCGGCGGGTAGAAAGCCAAATGTTCCCAATATACGTAAGGTTTTCGGTGTATATTTGCCGAAAATATCAAGCTCATTTCGCGTCAACCTCAACTAACACCTACTCGTACACAGAACAGAAGGGTACAGTTGAACATAAAGCTTCAAGACAGCACACGCGTTTTTGTGAGCTCCGGTGTTGTTCGAAAGCCTCCACAACCACCTTAAAGCTTATGAACTCTCCAATATTATCAGCAAGAAAGAAAAGCTTTTTGTCATCGACAGATACGGAAGTCAAAACATCGTGAGTCCCAACCACTTGAAGGCAGTGTATATGGATGACCCACTTCCCTTTAAATCGATAGAACTAAGAAAGCGTTTGCCGAAAAACTCCAAAAAAAATTTGAGTATTCGCAAAACTCCTAAGTTTTCCAGTAAAATACAGTACGTTCTACACGCACTCGCTGGCGTGTACACTGGCCTAAACAGTATATATATTTTGTTGATTAGGTATAGACAAACTTAAACTATTCATACAGTGAGTTTCGTAAATATTTTATCACTGTGCTCACCAACACTGCATTTTCATACATACAGTTTTTACTCAAAATTTTTGTCAAATATCAACGAAGAACAAAAGCCTTCAAGACATAAAGGACAAAAATAGATAAAAAAAGGGGTGAGGATCTCAAAAGAAAATTTTTTGTTGTTAATTACTTTTTTCCCTTATTCCCCTCATATTTGGTACGTGCTTAATTTTCTTTTCTTTATTTCTCTCGTTAAAAAATATTAGAAACACGTTAAAAATTGAATATAACTGGTCCCCCAGTATGCCACTCAGATCGTTCTGAGGTTCTTTTTGTACTAGCTTCTCCCTCTTTAGATTAAGGAACAATTAGGAAATGTAGACAGAGCCTTCCGGTCATCTATCGTTGGAAGAAGAGCTGAGTCTAGGCTCAACGTTCTATAAACCCCGTAGGTGTACAGCTGAACTGGCTTCAAAAGCCCCCACGTCACCTGCACCATTCTAAATTTTGAAAGATGTTGCGTGTCCTCTTCACAGTTGCCTCCTAGGGTCAAAGGTTGCCAGTGTCTCAACAACCTTGTAGGAGGATAACCTTTGCTACCAATCCCTGGCACCAAAATGCAACTGAAGCCAAAATGAATAGATTAAATTAAATTAATATTAACTAGATAAGCTTCAAGCTCACCTCCGGATGCTTAAAGTTTTTTAAGTTTTGCGTTAACGCCCACGCATCCGAGCAGGCTTTGACGCCACTTTGCGCTCGCTTTGTGCTGGTTAACACTCATATCCTGAGGTTTCCTAGCTCAGCCATAACAGCCAGATAAATTGGATAAAAGTTTTTCTTAAAAGTCATCTTCATTTTTGTTCTATTTAAATATGTTGCGCTTTCGAATGCACTCCCAAGTAAGTCAGTCTTTTTGACTCGTGTTTCCTTATCAGTACTGAGGTGAGGTACTGATAATAATAATAATAATTCCTGAATTCACAAGTGCACATCATTTCTACGGATGTGGTTATTACATTAAGTGACGAAAAATCTTTGTTTATGGTGTTTATCATCTCTTCTTCATCCCAGGTAGTGGCAATACCAAAACTAAAATGGATGATTTCACATCGTATACAGATAATGCACGTTAAGTTACATGTTGAATTTTTGTGTTCATTCATAGGTATCATTAAGTTTTCTGGCAGAAGTGAAGATCGACCTTAGCGAATGTGTAAAGGCATCATACAAAAAAGGGGAAGCAATTCAGCAGGTTCATTCTCAGAGAAGTATTGGTAGCTGAATTCCTCAAGCGTTTTCATTTAATGATAATAATATACATTCACACATCATTTTTGCAGGCATGTATAAATTTCTCTGTGGACACATGTTTCTTAAGGGTAGGTGGCTTCAATCCTCACCTATTCATTCACTAGAAGACATGGATGTTGCATGTCATTGGGATAAAGCATGGCAGCAGAATAGTTATGCACAAACTTATAAGACTGACAAGTGGAAGTATTGTCTCCACATTAACAAATAAACCAGAACTTGTATGTGATCACTGAATTTACTGCCTGGAGAAACATAAAGCTTGAGCCAATACTGCCACTGCTACACTTCACATATTTTGCCTAAGAATAAGGATGAAACATTCATGAATGAATATATACATGTTGTCTCCTGTTTATTGTTCATTATTGCTTGCAGAACTGTGTATTTCACTTATTCGCGCATCAGTTCACATCGAAGATTCATAATCTTGCTGAAAATTACATGAGCGAGCCAATTATCTGCAGTTTTCTACTCCAGCATCGAAACGCAATAGGTTTTTTTGAACGCATCAATCGGACTTCCAGAACACCTCGTTTCGTGGGTGGTGGAAACTTGTGGTTTATAAATGTGAGATTTTCTTGGTCACCCTCATAGTCGATAAATGGTAGATTTAGATAATTATGAGTCTGCAGTTCTAAGAATATGAATCGTTTTTATCCGTTGTAGTAGGGTTTTGTAAACGTGATAACGCATAGACCAATGGAGGGTAGTTTCCACCAAGGTTTGTTCCTTTAAGAAATTTTCAATCATGTTCAAGCCAACATTCAGAAACGGACAGCTTTGCTACAACAAAAAATGAAAACGAAGCAGGGGACGAGAAAAGAAACAAGAATTTACATAAGGATTATGTTTCCTATGTGCTTATTTATTCTAACTTAACTTTCTTTGCTATGGCATAAGTTGTACACACACACTCAAGAACATAGCTTTCATGCTTTTATATAGTTTATGACCTTTATCTATGTTTACCATGGTGGATAAAAAGGAGTTTATGACGTTAGTATAAGGTAAGAATTCTTGAGGAAGCGTCCTCAACGTTACGTAAATTGTCCCACGGTAGGTTTCTTGTAAATATATGTACATCTATGTATAAGGATGCGCTAGAGTACATACAGTTTAGTAAGGTTGGTCAAGTGTTACATAATAATAATGCGTCCAGTCCCTTCAAAAGACACGTTACTGTAATCCACTGTGATAACCTGCCAATGGGATAAAAATAAAAAGAAACATGGAAGATCGTGTTAGTTACTTGAGAATTTAGAAAAATGATATATATAGTTTAAATCTGAAAATGGAAGGTAAGGAAGAAGCAACTGTATGGAGAAAAATATTGCACTCATATCTGTAAAACTGCTGTATGCCTGCATATTCAGGAATAAATATCATCTTTATCATTATTGACTGCAGATTACTCTGTGTAAGCAAGACTCACTGATAAGTACTGGTGCCAAGATTTTGAAAGTCACAGAATTTCAGAAGTGAAAACTAACATTCCGTAGTGATTTCAGAGCTTATACAACAAGTATAATTTTTCTAAGGTCGCAGCACAATTTGATTACCGCTCAACTTCATGAGGTGTAAAGCAAAGTAAACCTTTGAAAGAAAATCACTATTTTGGAGAAAACTTTAATCAGCCTAAGGAAGCTTATAAAAAGTCAGCAGCTTTTCAGTTGGAAAGTAAATAAGCTACTCAGAGTAATGGCACAGGTTCCAATCCCGTCTGCTTCCATTTACAAAATGAAGTATCCTGTAAGCGTAGTTCATCAAATGTCAACTAACGACATGATGTTATGGTGATATGATATATCTTAGGTATCCGATGAATACTGACTATTAAATACCGTATCTAACCATCATGAAAAGGTTACACAATATCAGCAAATTTCATCAGCGCTTCCTGGATGATAGACAGGTTTACAGCCTGGGGTAACAATGAGGAACGATAAAGCTCAAATGTAGACTGCCAAATAGTCTGCATAATGACGGTTAGTGGTAGTAACCTGTGAAGGTTAAGGATACGGAAAAAGCAGTGGTGACAGTTAACAGTAGATATCAATTCAAAATCAAAAAGAAATTCAATGATAAGTGAGACCACAGCCCAGAAGACGTTGTGTGCGATCTACATTGAAATGGTTTAGAGAAGGAAAACAACCAGTGGTACTTACGAATACTAACAAACTTGACCACCTTAGCTGCAAACTATCTCTCTGCTGCACACAGCCTTGAAAAAACTTGATTGACTGTAGAGGCGACCACTGTTTGTGCAAATACTAGTCACTGTTCGTCAGTTTACTACTTACTTCCGATGCCCGCTTATTATATGATATCAAGTAAAATATGGAATGGCACAAATACCCCGAAACGTTTCTCTATTTCCCAAAAGTCAGCAGTAAATTGAGAAACGAGATAAGCATTCCGACAACTCGACATTTCCCATTCACTTCATTAAACAACAACGACATTGCGTCTCAAACACAAACCCAGCAACAATCATGCACATTGGGGTTAACACCATATCCCAATCACATTACCTACTTGATACTTAGTTCTACACCAAAACAGGTGGGCGGTGAAAAGAACAGTGAGGCAGAGAACAATTCCGGTAACATATTCTAATTAAATTATTTCAGTTTTCAACATTTTCTGACATAACTTTCACCACTCAAATCATGCCAAATAAATTCCCAACAGCAGACCACATCAAACAACACTGAGTTATGCAAGCACACAAAACCATCGAAATACTACCCTAACAAAACACAATCTTCGGGATGAAGTTGCTTGTTATATACCCATGAAAGTCTTCATCGGAAAACAATCAAGTTCACTGCCACATTCTAACATCCCGTCACATGCAGCAGGCAACACTCAACTACCAAACGAAGCTCTGCACTGGCACACACACACACCGTCATGAAACCTACTCAACAAGTCCGTAATCATACATAAACATAACTCAACCATGACAACTGTCCCAAAACATCTCGGCAATCAATTAACACCCAACGAATGAACACCAAATGAACGAAAATCCACGCCAGTAACACATAAAACAAGCCTACCAACACATACCACCTACACAAACCATAACTAGAGGTATACCGTCAAGAAATCACACTATCACATGCACAAAGATTTATTTCACTCAGTTCTAGATTCACATTGAATCAAGCCTCTTCATTCTCCTCCTCCTCAAACTCTCCCTCTTCTTCCGCTGTCGCATCTTGGTACTGCTGATACTCACTCACCAGATCATTCATGTTGGACTCCGCTTCAGTAAACTCCATTTCATCCATCCCCTCTCCCGTATACCAATGCAAGAAAGCTTTGCGTCGGAACATCGCAGTAAACTGTTCACTAACACGCTTGAACAGCTCTTGAATAGCAGTGCTATTACCAATAAAAGTGACCGACATCTTCAGACCTCTAGGCGGTATGTCGCATACAGCAGTCTTCACGTTATTCGGTATCCATTCAACAAAATAGCTCGAGTTCTTGTTCTGCACGTTCAGCATTTGTTCATCAACTTCCTTCATCGACATGCGGCCTCTGAACATTGCTGCAACTGTTAGGTATCGTGCATGACGTGGGTCACACGCAGCCATCATATTCTTCGCATCAAACATCTGTTGAGTTAGCTCTGGAACTGTGAGAGACCGGTACTGTTGACTACCACGACTGGTCAGTGGAGCAAACCCAGGCATGAAGAAGTGAAGTCGAGGGAACGGCACCATGTTGACCGCTAGTTTCCTCAAATCGGCATTCAGTTGACCAGGGAAACGAAGACACGTTGTTACTCCCGACATCGTTGCACTTACCAAGTGGTTCAAATCACCATAAGTAGGCGTGGTCAGTTTCAGTGTGCGGAAGCATATATCGTACAACGCCTCGTTGTCAATGCAGAATGTCTCGTCGGTATTTTCCACTAGCTGGTGAACTGACAGAGTCGCATTGTAAGGCTCCACAACAGTGTCAGATACCTAAAATCATCACACTGAGGAAAAACAAAACGCCTCACCTTCGGTGAAGGAACTACCGAAAATGTGTTCATGATACGATCAGGATACTCCTCACGAATCTTTGAAATCATAAGCGTACCCATTCCAGATCCTGTCCCACCACCAAGAGAATGAGTAAGTTGGAAGCCTTGAAGACAATCACACGATTCCGCTTCCTTCCGAACAACATCCAACACTGAGTCCACTAACTCAGCACCTTCCGTATAATGACCCTTTGCCCAATTGTTGCCTGCACCACTTTGCCCGAACACAAAGTTATCAGGACGGAATAACTGACCGAATGGTCCCGCACGAACACTATCCATAGTCCCAGGTTCCAAATCCACTAGGACAGCACGAGGCACGTACTTCCCACCAGTCGCTTCATTGTAGTAAACATTTATACGTTCCAGTTGAAGATCAGAGTCACCATGGTATGTGCCAGTCGGGTCAATCCCGTGTTCATCAGATATCACTTCCCAAAACTAAAATAGAATAAGCTGAGTATACTCACTGAGAACTTCCTACCTTAGCACCGATCTGGTTACCACACTGACCGGCTTGGATGTGAACAATCTCGTGCATACTCTACAAATTACCTTCTCACACCATCGAAGAATCAAATGCACAACCAAACTATTGGAGTTAACTGACTGCCACTTCGCATATACGTATACATAATCACAGAGCCTGCCGCCATGGTAATAGAGCAACCAATAGAGTAACTAATTAAAACAAATCATAAGTTGCTACGCCCTCAAGATTGAGGTTAGCAATTTTTGTTGGTGAATTATGTTTACGGCTGATTATCAGAACTGAAAATTGATTATAAGATACCTTTTTTTCATCGCATTTTCAGCTTGTTGAGTAAGTCTACAATCCAGGATTGGAATCACCAATTCAAACAGTTTCCTCTCTTTCTTTTTCACTATATGACGTCAACTAGATACATCAGTTTTTGAACGCTGTTGGCTAAGATATTTCAGGTCAAATGCATCATTTACCAAAATAAAACGAAGGTTGGAAGTATCATGTGTGTGTATATAGCTTCAGATGTCTGCAGATTGGAGTTCTACTTAACAATTAGGAACGGTTATGCAGTATAGTGCTGAGACAAATGATGCATTCGTTTTCAGAATTTGGTGTTGATGTTTCCACTAGGAGATTACTGGTGTATTGGGATCAAGCTGTTTCCAAAACTTGCAGTGCAGTCCCACCAGTCCTATCTGCTTACTTCTGTTCAGTGGTCCACTTGAAGCCATACTATCTACTTAATGCATACAGAAAGTTGACTACATAAGTGATTGGCATACAGAGCATTACAATCTTCAGAATGTGAGATGCCTACATTGAGTGTTACGACTCGAAAACTGCAATGGTCGCTAAAGATGCACGGATATCGACAATCAGCCACTAACGCTCAACAAATTCCTAGTTGATTCCCGGCCCAAATAATTAATGGAGAAAATGTGATGAAACGTGTATTGGGGTGGAAAGGTAGAAGACGAGAACAAAGGAAAATATATCCAATATGTAGACAGTTCGCCGTTTGCCTGGTCTATTGTCTCTCTGTCTCACTATAAACATGATAACATAAAGTACTTTTTGATTGGTCCCTCTCTAGACTAGTCTTTTCTCTCTATCGCCATATGAATGAGTTGATGTCATGGATGCAACTTAGCTTCACTTTGTCTTTCATTCTAGATATCGTAGTGCAATTTCAATTTTCTCATACCACATAATTTGTTTTTATAGAAGACAGATCGAAATAATTACAGTAATCTATTGATCATGAAAAAAAAAACAATTCTAATTGTTGCTTTTTTCAGGTATAGGGATTTCATTCTTATCATTCGGTCATGTCTAGGTGACTCGTTTGTAAACACTCAAGGTGTACTTTGAAAAGTATTTAGAATCTCTGACCCGTGAAAACTGTGTGCGATAACTGTGAGTAGAAAAGTGAACGTTAAAATATCAAAAATTCAGGATAGATGCGTGTGTTAATGAAAATCACCCATTTTCTCTGCTCACTTTCATCAGATTATCAAATCATTTGACTGTTTGATTGAAAAGGCATATTTTCATGAGATAAGTTTTATTGACACAATTTTTTCTGGTCATAATAATAGTGCTAAACAATCAACTTTGAACGCTTCTTCAAGAGCATAATCTAGGAGTTGTGAGATAAGATAAAATCTACAACTATGGTAACTTTAATCAAAGAAAAAAGTTTAGTCACCTATGTGTGAATACCCATAAAACTTATGCTTTACAACAGTCCATGACGTGAATAAAAAGCATTTTCCATATTTTCCGTACACTCAAACTTGAAATTCTTCAACTCATGAAATTTGGTCGATTTCAAGGGCATGGATCAACATACTGCATTGAAGTAGATCAATTTACAAACTGATTTCCACAGTTTAGTTTTACGTTGATTCATTAAACTTACAAGTCTGTTTCGAAAACATAAGTGTCTAAATTAGGGCCCAAAATAAATACTCTTCTTCGAAAAAACTACATAGCATAAGGTTATTGTTTGTTTCAATAACCTGTTATATCTCCACCATTTATTCCTTTTCCTTGAATATACTAAAGATAGCTAAAATCACTGCATCTCACCTCAACTTTCTTCTCATTCATTTCTTGAACAGATCATCAACGGAGGTGAGTGGTGAAGATGTTCATGATATTCATCTTGAGAATGAGATGAATTCATTGTATGTTGATAGAAACCTGTTAACTGTTCTGCCTTATATATTTTATGCGATGAAAAGGATGTTTTCTAACACCACAAAGTTACACATAACAACGGGATAGTAATCAGTCCACAGTTATAGTGTCTAGTCCACCTCAACAATGCCAGAATGCCGCTGACAAGTTTCGCAGTCTGAGGGGAAGCAAAAAATTGGCGTTGGTTGCCTGAAGAGCAAAATGAGGAAACCAGTATGGAGGTTCTGTGTAGATAGTGTGAAATTCTTCAAGATGAATTTTGAAGTATCACATCATTATTTTAACTCTACTGGGACAGGCTTGCTCTGAAATTTAGATATGAAGATTGAACCTTGGAGATGATAATAACATTTTTCAATAATCTATCTTGACCTGATATTCATACGGCAACACTATGTTCATTTCCATATATTAGGTGGTTGTTTCACTGTCTTGTCATTCACTTATTTCCAAATATGAGAATGTCAACAGGAATCCAAAGGGCTAACGTCTTGCAGAGATTTGAACTAACAACCTCACGGATAGCAGCTGAATCTTTTATCTCTGTAGGCAGAGCATTCAACTGATAACCTCGTGACTACTGATTCCATTTAAGGAGTCTTCCTCAAACAAATCCTCTATTAGCCTATTTGATAAGGGAAGCTTGAATATTTTGAAATAGGTGTCACGAGAATCCCATCATTTCCATTCAGATCACCACTACCTGTATAAGGATTCATCTGAAACCAATTGTTATCAAGATGAAATCTTCAAATGAATCAACGTGCTTTCATTTGTAAAAAAATTCGGCAATGAGCAAAGTGGAGTTCTAGCGTAGTGTCGTTATGACGTTGAGTGAAATAATCCAATGATTTATGGCCACACAAAGTGGTGAGGGAAACAATTTCAGTCCTGTAGGCTTTTGTCTCACGGATCTACAATTCGAACAACCGATCTACCTATTTTTCGTCTAACTGCTGACTGGTGGATTTGTGGATAATTGGATTAGCCAGATGACTTTTACCTAATTGTTCACGGGTTGTAATCCTGCCCCTCATACCAAGATTTGGATGGCTAGGTAGTATCAATAACCAGAATGGAATCCGTTTCGTTCATTGCACGAAAATAAACGTAGTTCTTGCAATACATTTCATCCATCACTTCTTTACGTTTACAGCTCAGAAGAATTTGAATATTGAAAAGACAAAAGAAGGTTACAGAAAATAGATAAAATATCAATTTATGATACCGCTTAGGGAGATAAACACTTACGAATGGAGTATATACATTTGAAGAATGCAGCAGAAAGGATGCTAAGCTCAAGTGCAATGAACAAGAAAGTCAATAAACGGTTAACCAACAAGAGAGCTAACCAATGTCTCTAGCTGCTCCCAGTGAATTTCACGATAGAAAACCATTGAGAAAACACTATTCATCATTAATATGTGAGTAGAAATCTTGCACGGCATCATAATGTAATACCATCTATTTTCATTCATTAAATTATTATCAATACTATTACAATCACTATCATTATTAGATCTAGTTATCCAAAACATAATTCAGCAAACAAAATTATTCCACAGTGTCATAAATCTAATAAATCAACTAAAATACAATATCCAACTTTGACATTAAATGAAGACGAATAAACTGATCAGTTCACTCAGTCCACGATATTAGTTCAATTGAGGCTACAGATACAGCTTGCTGATGAATACCAATTAGTCGGAAACTTATGGTCACGGCTTCCTTCCAATTAACCCCCTTCAACTAACACATTTTATTTTCGTTCGTTTGTGTCCTCACCATTGTCTTGAGACAAACTTCTTCACCCATAAGGGAGGAAAACACAAAGTTATCGCTGATCGTGCTCTCCTATTCTCATTTACAGATCACTATCATACACACATCAGAAGATGAAATATTAGTGACAAACAAACAAATAAACGTGCAAACAACACCCATTATACACTGAAATCTATGTGAATTGTGTGCACCTTGTTGTCTCGATTAGGGTTAGGGTGCAAATTCATTCTTATAGTTATTACTCGACTTGCACTGTTGAAGTTATTTATTATTTCTCATCATAACAGTTAGATGTGACAGCCAATGTTCCCATAGTTACGAAATGAAGACAGAAAATTGAAGAAAGAAAAGAAAGACGAACAAATAACTTGGGTTGCACACACACACACACACACGTACAGAGAGAGAAGGAACTGAATAAGTGCAACAATTATTGGGTACATATTTCACGCCGTTACCATAGTGAACGGGTTGTTTGTTTCAGGTAATGGCTACAATTAATATTGCAATTATCGTCAAAGTGATTAACTGAACTAAATTACCAACCCTCCCTTACTCTACAATTGATAAAGAAAGGTACCTAGACGGGTGAACTTGGAGAAAGATAAGGCCTTCAGAATCATTTGTCTGATTATATGACTACCAGCATTCAGCGTACAATCACTAGCACAACTGCTATAACCACACTTGCTTAACCGATTCTCACTCCACAACATTATTCATCTAGTAAACAGAAAATCCTGATTCGTGGTTTTGCACAGTTGGCATCTCCAGTAAACCTCATTGCATAAGAAAGAATATGATTGGTCTTATAATTATGAGGGGAGAGGTGAGAGGAGTAGCAGGTGAAGTCAACTGAAATTTCGTTTCATGTTTCATGAAGATCAATGTTAGTTACTAATGTAGCAACTACAAGTTAGATACTGAGATGGAATCAGTAGGATTTGTGTCACATTTATGCATAAATGTAGACAGGGTGGTGTCGACTAATGTGGAATTTGATTGTTTAATCTAAGTGGCTAAATGATATATATCATTCTCCAACATTCTGAGTGCTAAATATG